TTAGGACCGTCTCTCCGCTGTTGATTGCATGCTTGTGGCTCATAATCAGAGTGATGCACAGTAATTGTTAGACTCACTTGCCAGGGCTACGTTTTGTGTCGATGCAACTGTCAGCACTTTGGGCCCCGTTGTGTTGTTCTGCCTGAAGAGCTTGCCTAGCACCCACTGGGCTGCTAGGGGAGACTCTTCGCTGAGCACTGTGGGTAAGTACTGAGCCACTCTTGTTTGCTTACCCTCGAAAAGAATTACCTGAAAAGAGGACTGTCTCCCGTCTTGTGGCAGCTGGCTCTTTTTGTGTCTGACAGAATGCTAGTGTGTGGAGACTTGACTATTCAAAAAAAAAAAAAAAAAAAGATAAGTAGGGAGCTGGGAGCTCAGATTTTCCCTTTGGTTGTGAAAGTGACAACCCTAGCTTTGTCCCTCATGTGTTATGCGGTCCAGATGCGCCACTTTTCTAGAGCCCTGCTTTGCTCCTTTCTTGCAATGGAACTAGTAGAGAGAGTTTGGGCTAGAATGGGCAGCCAAATTGTGTCAGCAGAAATGAGCTGCTCACTAAATGGTAATGGCCGATAGTAAGGAATCTGATGCTTGCTCAGACGATATGAGATACTACGTCATCTTCCTGTCGCTATACTGCACATACGAGAAGATCAACTTACAAAGAGAAAAGGGATAGGCTGGCTCATAGTTTTGGATGTTTCAATCCATGATCAATCACTCCCTTCTTTTTGGACCCCTGGCAACTCAAAACCTCACAATGGGAGCACAGGGATGAGCTGATCTGCTAAGCTCCCAGCCAAGGAGCAAAGCCGGGAGGAGGGAGTGGAGGATCCTGGAGCCATTTCCTGAGGTACATGCCAGTGACCTAAGGGCCTTTAGTTTCTTTTTTTTTCTCATCCCTGCCTCTTTTGGCTGTATCACCTCCCAGCCCTCTCATCCTGGGGACTGACCCTTCAACCCAAGAGGTTCTGAGGACATTTAAGGTCCCAAGTACAGTGGTTCCAAAGGGCAGCAGCCCCCAAACTCACTGCAGCTGTAGAATTTATGGCACCAGCAGTTTCCCAACAAGGGCAGAGACACAGAACTGGCTGAGTGTCCCGGGTTCTAGATCACAGTTTTACCTGGCTGCATCTGCAGAGACCGAATGTGTTCTGCCCTATCTTGTGTACCCATCAAAACATTTGAAGGGCCCTTTGAAGGCAAAATCTTCCATCTCTCTATGCGATTCAACACTGACTGCACAAAAGGGTTACTACATAACAAATGCACGATGGGACCTGACCATCTGCTACCCTGTCCCTGAGAAAATAAACTGAGCCAAGCTAACCCTTATCCCTATTAGAAGATCATAACTAGAGAGAGAGCACTAGCTCCTGGACTGCACCCATCTAAGATCTGTGCAAGCAACTCAGATCACTCTCCATGACGCATTAAGTCCTGGCAGGCACTGCCAAAAAGAGGCTGGTGGGGGTTCTGACCAGGGCACAGTTCAGCATCTGTGCCCTTATCTCATCATTTTGGTCAAAGTACAAGTGGAGAGGTCTCTTGAGGGCTCCACTACCATGAATTGCTGCATCAGCTGAACCGGGCTAAACGCTGAGGGAAGACCTTCTATTGCTCACTTTTCTGTTCGCTGTGATCAAATACCCAACAAGAACCAGCATAAGGGAGAAGGGCTTACATCGGCTCAGGTTTGAGAGGTCAGCCATCGTAGCTGGGAAGGCTGGCAGGGACGGCAGGCAGAGGGCGCTTGGATAAAGCTGCAGGAGTGCAAGGTTGGACCTGGAAGCAGAGAGGGAGAAGTTGGGTGCTCAGTTGATTTGTTTCTCCCCTTTCATTCAGCCCAGGACCCAAGCTCACAGGATGGTGTCATCCACATTCAGGATGTGTCTTCTCCCCCAGGTTAACCCTTCCTGGAAATGTGCTCACAGGAACACCGTGACATGACTCACTCGAGCCCTAGGGATTTCTTAGACCTATCCAGTACGAATGATCCATCCATCACACATCTGTCAGAGGCGTTCACGCCATCGGCTCTCGCTTGTCAGCTCCTGTGGACTCTGGTTTCACCAATGAAAGTTGGTTTCTCATTGGCATGCTTCTCCAGAGTTTTCGGGGTCTCAGTGTACCCCTGTATTCCCCGCTTCTCCCTGTAAGTCCCCCACCCCCATGTCTTGCCTGCAGGTAGTGACAGTGTCAGGAATACTTTAAGAAGACTGCGTTTGGAGGAAATGTCTCCACATCCTTAGGCAGCTGTGGGCCGGTACTTGTTCGCTCAGCCTCTCTCAAAAGTGGCCTTTGTCTGAAGCGTGGCTGACCAAAGTTGTGGCACAGCCTTGGTAACCAGGGCGACCATGCGGCCTTTGACTCACGTAACCACCTCATATATGTTTTATCAACTCAACTATTCTCTCTGAGAAAGAAATTAGACCAGAAACGCTCGCATTGTACAAACAGTCCCATGTCTGATACCTTAGTGCGGCACATTCCAAAGCCTTTTTTCCCCTCCTTAGGTTTTGAACTCCAAATAATGTGAGTTAATATGAATGAACTCTGCAGATTTCAGTTCGCTTCTCTCTGTATCGTGAAATCGCTCTGCCATGCTTGGGTGATAGACAGGGACATTCGCTTAACGTTAGACATATGACTTCCAACTTTTCGTAAGCATTTCCTTTGCCTGTCGTCTCTAGTCCCCTGTCAACATCTTCTAGCTGCTCGCTGGAAGTTGGGGGCTGTGATTTCGTTCCCCATGGTATATGTGCCAGCCTGTATTCTTCTGAGCTCACCCACTCAAACCCAAACAAAAATTTTTTTTGCGGTTAAAACTTACTATATTTATGCAATCTGCCTTTCCCACTCTTGAAAAACAGAGGAGAGAGAGAAGACACATGCTGTAGTGCTGTGCAGTCGTTTCTGAGAAATGTGAATACTTGGGCGGATTCTATATGTTCAACAAGTAAATATTTTTTTGCCTCATTCTTCCAAACCGAGACTCTTTCAGTCCTTTAAATTATTTTTTTCTGATATAAAGCTAGAAGTGTCGTTCACTTGGTAGAATCTTGCCTAGCATGCTGGAAGCCCTGAAATTGATCTCTAGAACTGGGCGTGGTGGCCTGTGGCACTATAGAGGTGGAGGCAGAAGGATCTTAAATTCAAGGTCATTCTTGTCTAAGTACCCAGTCCAAAGCTAGCCTGGGCTGCAGAATATCCTGTTTCAAAAAAAAAAAAAAAAAAATATATATATATATATATATATATATATATATATATATATATATATATATATATATGATGTAGTTAAATGTTTTGATGTTAAAAGAGGGTTTTAATATATCAGCTATAAAACATCAGTTGGCAAGAGTGATATGAACACCCTAAAATATGTTAAACTGAATTACATATGTATGTATGGGGTTTATTTCAATTTCAAAGGCTTGTATGCACCCATAGGTGTAGAAAAGAAACAAGAGTGTAAGTGAAAATATTTATGCTGGTTCTGAGTGGAACTTTTTCTGATTTCTGTTACTTGGGTTCCCCCTCCCCATCTATATCAAGTAATTGTTCTACAGTAAACAATATTATTTTGTTCTCATTTGTCTCATCAGATTGGGGTAGTTGGGAGGTCAATGCAGTGCAGGTACCCGCATCCAGACAGATTCTAAAAATCTCTCGACAGCTCTCCTCTTGTTACAGACACATAAATGTGATGAGCCAAAGGGTAATCAAGGCAGTTCTTTTTATTGTTTCTCCTACTTGCCTTTGCTGCATAAGACTCACACAGAGGCATGCAGCAGCTGGTAGGATCACTGCCTTTATGCAAACGAGGAAAGCTCAGAGGGTTCCCATGGCTGGAATCACTCAGCTAGGGGTGGCAGAGCTGAGCAGCACACTTGGACCAACTCAGAACTTTGTTATCTTGGTCCTTGTAGACATCTTGTCTACCGTAAGGATAAAAAGGCCTCTTCCTGTGTGAGTGAATTACAGCATGCTTTTAAAGGTCTTGTCAGAGGTGTTGCTGAGCTGTACTGGAGTCCACTGCTTATACGCTCCCTGGCCATCTTTTCAGTTAGGCCTTGTTCCTCTCCACAGCCGAAATTATATCTTAGATGGCACTGTCTGGGACTGACTGACAGTGCTGTGTGGTGGGTGCCACCTGAATCTGCATAGCCTTCTCTCCGGCATGCTGTCCAAGTCTGGGAAGCTACCTTCAGGCTGGCGGGGTTCCCTCAGCAAAAATTCTCCACACAGCCTCCTGGCCTTTCTTACCATCTGCCAAGTCTTAAGAAGTGGGCAGGAAGAGGGTAGGATGGACTCGAGATTCAGGGGCGATATGAATCCAGCCAGGATAGCTTTGATTCACATCCATCCTAGACCCACAGAGGCCCGTTCAAAGTCCCTAGAGACTTTTCAAAAAAAACTCCAGTCTTGAACTGGAATGGAGCGGGAACTCTTCTGCCTTCACTGCTCATCTGCCTCCATCATTCAGCCTTCCTCTGGCCAAACACTCAAATCACCTCAGTTCTTTCTCACAGCTGGTTGGACCAGTCAGCACCTGAGACATAGTGGCCTCTGCATAATGTTACCCAGTGGGCTTAAAAGGAGGCCTCCATCACTTCTTGCTCAGTCTGTGTTCCCTTGTAAGCCTAATTACAGATGGGTGTGGCTCAGGACTCAAAAGTGTGGTGCTTGGGGAAAGAATAAAATGAAGTGAATGAAGCGAGTGGGAAGTTTTAAAAGACCCACCTAAAAATATTTTCTACATACAACAATGCATATGCCTTGTCATAAGTGTCATATAACCCACGCTAAATAAGCCATGTATGGCATGGTTTTGTGTATATTGATTGTTGAAAGGTGTCTAAAATCCATGCGATCAGTCTCATATCACCGTATGTATCTACTAACCACTAAAGTCCTTGCCCTCCTCAGGCCTACTAACCTGTGCCTATTCAGCAAATGGGCTGCCAATTGTTTTATAATCTTTTTTTCCTCTCTTCCAGTTTTCCAAAGAAAATAGACCAAAACTTTCTTCTTGAGAAGAAACCCACCTGCTGTTGGCAAAGGGTGAGTGAGCTTTTAAGTCTGTTTTTTGTTTTGTTTTGTTTTGTTTTTCCTGTCCCTGTCAAAATGGTGTTTGGTCCTATGAGGCTCCAAGATGAAGCATTTGATAGCAGGCAAGCTCAGGAGGTCTACTCAAGCTTGGTGTCAAGACACTTTTTCTGCCTTCTACCTCATTTCCCTGGGTCTCTTCTAGAAACAGTGGTTTTGCTCGGAGCTTTTCCTCTGCTGTTTCTTGCTGTCCCCACGTCTCCTCTCATGAGCTGCCCGCGTGACTGCTGTCACCTTGCCCATCTTGCAGGGAGGTCAACAGTAAAAATGTCTTTCCCTCAGTGACTGCTGTACAGAGATAAGGCCTGGGCAAGGGGAGACACTCTGTCTAGTTCACATGGCTGTGTCTCATGAGTGCCATGAGAAAGAACCATTAGTTATGAGCAGCCGGTGGGACCTCCCAGGCTATCTGGGAAAGTTCCTATGTGCAGAGGAGATAGCTGCAACCCAGTGGGCTCCAAAGGACCTGTGACATCATAGATAGCAGCAGAGCCATCAGGGTGAGAACATTTGACTGTTAGCTGGGTGGTCCTGTGGAGGGATGATTGTTTTTAACCCATGACGTATTTCTAAGATTTACTTATATAATTCAATTGAAATAAAGTACTAATAAGGTAATAATAATAGTGGCCTGTTGTCCTAAGGTAAATGCAAAAGTAGTCTGTTTGGCTTCATGCTGTCATACTACCAAGGAGGGTTGAAAGAGCAGATGCTCCCAGAAACCATCTGATGTGAATCTTGTTGGCATGGGCGTATGTTACATGACTCTGCCTAGGAATATGTAAGAAAATATCTCTTCATCTTAGAGAAGGCAGTAATGACGTAGCAAAGAAATGAATCCACTCAAATGCAGCTTAGTGGACCAGTGAGTTTGCTGGGTTAAAGAAAGGTGAAGAAGGGGCTACTCAGCAGAACATGGGTAAGTCTAGCCCTGTATAACCAAACAGCCACCCCAGCATGGGTGACAGCACAAAAGCTGCATTCTTGGGGCTCCCTGCCCAGCTTGCAGGTAGTGTAGAACTACCTGAGCAGCCTCTCATCTCTGCTTATATCATGTCATGAAGGGGCCTGTGAATCCTGTAAGTTTAGTGAGCTTCCTGAGCTACTTGAGTTTCCCTCCTCATTAGGGAGAGTGGATATTTCAACTCAAACTAAATAGCTACACAATTGAATATCTTCTTTTTGCTCTTTCGAAAAATCACTGCTTTTGCAATGTTGTGTTGTCCCATGCTGAGACTGGTCAGCACATCTTTTTTTTTGCAGTAAGGAGCCAGCATGAGGCATCTGGTTAGATCATACTTACAGCCAGTAAGTAGAGAGCGATGAATACCATTGCTCAGCTCACTCTTCCCTTTCTATTTAGTCTGGAAACCCGGTATATTAAACGGTGCCATGTATATTCTGGGTGGGTCTTCCCTTGTCTGTTAAACCTTTCTGGAAATGTACTCCCAGATATATTCAGAGGTGTGTCTCCTAGTTGACTCTAAATCTTGTCATGTTGAAAATCAATACACATGTGAAAAAATTCACATGTACAAACATAAATACATAATGCACACATATACATATATATATGTAATATATGGACATGAAGGTGTGTTATTCTCTGCAAGATCCAGAATCAGGATTTTTGACTTGACTAAACTTACAAGAAGCCAAGAGGGTAAATGGCAAACTCTGTAACTATACTGTGTTATTCTTTGGGTAAAAACTTAAATTGTAGGCAAGGACCTAAGACCAAAACCCAAACAAGCAACTGGGGAAAGAGGCAAGCAGGAGCCCAGCGCTCATGTTGCATGGCTGTAAAGACTTGGTTCTGTGCTCAAGTCATCAGTAGTGTGGTCTTGGCATTCAAGAGCTATTAATTATGTAAACTACCATAAGCTGCTTGTTCTTTGATCAAGCAGATGCAAAGTGAATTCAGACTAAAGCCATGATGGCTTTTGTGGGGCTTGGAGAAATTTCTAGTTCCAGAAGAAGTGCATGACACTGTACAGTAGCTCAGTAGTATGGTGTTTACTGGGCCTATGCGATCCACCCAAAACCACAAATGAAAAGTGACAGTTCAAATGGCTCAGGGACCAGCCTTCCTTGTTCCTTCACTGTGTAAATCAGGAGTGGCTGCATGCTGTATCTTGCTGTATAGAGGGCTAGGGCCCTGGACCAATGCTCCACTTCAGTTATAATGGCACTTGCCATAGATGGTATCCCTTTAAGGGAAATCCAGGGGAGTGCTCTTGCCAGCCCTGAGATTTTATTTGCTAGAGGCCAAATGGCAGTCGCACGTATTTGGTTCCATAGCAACATGTCTGTGCAGCCAGAGAAAAAATATAATGCTTGCAGCAGCCTCTGCCTCCCAGGCAGACCTAGGACTGCCGTAATGTCCCTTTCATTTTCCTGCCTATCTCCCTCTGCCTTTTCCCTTCCTGAGGCCTTTGATAATGTGGGGAACCTGTACTTTGTCATCCTTGTTATCTAACCCTGCTATTAACACTTGACTGTGTTCGCATCCAGCCTGGACCTGGGTGAGGAGGAAGGCAATGCCTTGGTATCACTCATCAGCAGAGCTGAGAACCTCCCAACTTAGCACTTGAGAACCACTAGGTAATTTGTGCTTTGCCTCTGTCTCCATGGCAGGATAGCTGGATCATAATGACATGGCAAGAACAGAGATCCCTGCATATTACAGTCAGTTCCTCTTGGCTGGAAGGCAGGCAGGAAGCCATGTAAGATCCAGGGAGGCAGAGACCTGTGTCCCATGCTGTGGACCTATGTGATGGGTACAGGAGGGCTGCACAAAGAAATAATGGCACCATTTCTCTCCTCCCAGAAGCTTCTGTCAGGGGCACAGATCCTAACTGAACTTTCATCACTGCCTTGCCCTTGGAGTCTTTGAATGTCTCTGATCTTCTCTGTCTTCCACATCCATTGGAGACACTTGGGGTTAAACTGATACTTTCCCCTCTAAACTCTGAAAGTCACAGGGTCTCATAATATAGCCCAAGCTGCTCTGAGATACACTGGGTAACTGACATAGTTTCTTTTCCCATCACAGTGATAAAATATTTGGCAAAAGCAGCCTAAAGAAGAAAGGGTTTATTTTAGCTCACAGGTCAAAATATAGTCCATCATGGCAGGAAAGTCGTGGTACCATGTGCTTGAGTCAGCTGGTCACATGTCTGCATCAGGAAGAGAAGAAGTCAATGAATGCATTCTGAGACGCAGCTGGCATCCTCCATTTTTTACGGTGGTTCTCAACCTGTGGGACTCCACCCCTTCAAGAGGCTGAACTACCCTTTTGCATATCAGATATGCTGCGTATCAGATATTTACATTACAGTTCACAACAGTAACAGAATTCCAGTTATGAAGTAGCAATGAAAATAATTTTATGGCTGAGGGTCACCATAACATGAGGTATTAAAAGTTCACAGCATGAGGAAGGTTGAGAACAACTGATTTTATACAATCCAGGATCCCCTACCATGGACTTAGTCCTGTCCACAGTAGAGATGGGTCTTCCCACATCAATTAATATAACCAAGAAAATCTCCATATGTGAACCCAAAGGTCCATCTACCAAGTAATTCTATAGTCTGTCTAGTGGATAATTGCTACTGCTGTGGTAGCACAGTTTATCTTTAAACTTGAGGATGTCCTGTGTCAGCCTCCCAAGGGTTAGGAGGACAACCAGGTACCACCATACCTAACCTCTGGAAGCATTTTTTAAAAATCTCTGCCATCCATTTGACATCTATCCTACATTTCTTCTTCTGATTGATATTTCTTTGGGTGGAGGTCTAAGCCTCTTCCTAGGCAGAAAGGAAGCCTTTTGGTATTAGAAGTGAGAATCTCTTCCTCCCCAGCCTCCACATACTTTCTTTCTAAATTTCTCCAATGCCCAGGATTGAGCCTGGTGAGTAGTACCTATGACATACTATTTGTTCCTGATGATATCATATTCTCATCCTGTCTCCCAAGGATTGTGATGTATGTGTAGAAATATATTCAAACATTTTAAAAATATTTTTAAAGAAAAAGCACATTTAAGAAATTCTCGGTGTATGTTTTTAAATGTAGCTATAAAGTCATAAATTAGGAGTGTCCAAAAACTCCACTTTCACCTCTTCACATTGTGGATATTGAGTGTGGACTCTGTACCGTGTTTCATACTGGCATAAAGATAAACTTTTTTTCCCCACTCCTCCCCCAACACTCACTGTCACAGCATTTGCCTTTGGGGCCAAACTTCTCAGTCTAGCAGTTGTCTTTGGAGCCATTAAATCAGAGATTTGAAGGGGGTTTCATGAAAGTGACAGGTTTGATAGATTAGGGTAGTGATTTCTAATTTAGTTTTGAGGTCTGTTGGGGAAGGAGAAAGTTTTCATATGAAAACTTTTATCTTAAAAGAGTTGAAAGAGTTCTCTTTCCAAGTTCTAAGCCAATGGAAATAAGACAAAAGGCAGAATGCAGGTGGAAGCCAGAATTTTTATGCTACTAATAACAATTACAGAGTGAGAGCCAAAGGGACTTATCACCTCCCTGGTGCCATCTTCCTTAGTGCAGCCCTGAGGACTCATAACTGGGGCCATTTTGGGTCTGCAGAGCCCTGTCTTGGGGAAGAAGGAAGAGGTCAAAGTTTGCATTGATCATTCCTACCCAGTGGAAGCTGCTTCCTATCTAGAGATAGCTGGGGCCACACTTGGTTCCAGCCCCAGCCGGATAGCTGACTTTCCACCCTTGGAGGAGAAAAAGGCAGAGCAAAGGGCCAGGGAAGCTTAAAAGACAGAAGTGGGTGCTGTTCTGCCCTAGGCACACTTTACCCTCTGCCTCCCAATCAAGGCAGACCATCCTTCCAACTCAATCCCAGCACCTTCTCCGTCTCATCGTTGTTGTTTTGCTCAGGGGGCCTGTTAGTCTATTCTACCCAGCGGACACAAAAGCCTTACCCATCT